TTTCTTAGTTATAATTAGAGTAAAATCTGGAAAAATCACAAATTTTGTTTTTCTGGAATAGCTACAGATATTTCTTTTTTATTGTACAACTTGTCATATCAGCTCAATCCTGCACCAAAGTTAAGTAAGTTGATTATTCATTTCACGTTCAAAAGTATTATAGGAGTTTTGTTTTGCATAATCGTGAAATACAAGTATATATTATTTAGAAACAGTCACGTTGTCTTTTTTATATAAAGGTTTATATTAGTGTGAGCTCAAATGTAACACTTTCTAAGACTGCTTAAATTTATTTTTTCATATTTGAACTAAAAATGCAGATATATCTGTCCCATGTTACAGCTTCTGTTTCAATGTTATAGTAAGAAAGAATTTCAGGGTTTTACCTTTAATAGGTTTTGAGATATTAATGTTCAATGGCGTCAGATTTCAATGTGCGGAAAAAAAAGCCTGAAACTGGATGGGCAGGCCTTCTATAACAAAAATCTCTCTTTCTACATATACACATACGTGCGTGAAGCTAAACTTTCACAACAAGCATTATGTATGTTCAAATCTTGGGGCATAAAAGACAAATAAGAAATGATCTAACAGAAAAAAATGTCATGATCCGAGATGGAATAACCCTGTTGTCAGGGGCGGAGCGTGAGGGTGGCTTACTGGGCTTAAGCCCGGGTTGTTTTGTCAGAAGCCCGGGGTCTTTTGGAGAACAATTTTTTCATAGTTAGATGCCTGGCTGACAACTGTATAAAACAAAAAGTACACACAATATTCGAAGCACATAGTGCACACTGAGGGAATTTACGACTGTGCGTGAATCCCCCTGATATTGGTATGATCCGAGCTCAGGCACTAAGCGACTGAGCGAGAGGGCGGGGCAGCTGCTGCCTGTGTGCGCTGTTGGAGAAACAGAGCCAGCCATACTAAGGAGAGCTTAAGTTTGACCAGGTACCAAAGCAAATCATTCGTACCGTACAAATAATGTAAATATGACGGTGAATCACGAAAGATTGATATCAAACTGATCACTTGACCAATATTACGTTTCTTGCTCTTCAAGTGAATCAACAAATGGCGAAATGAAAAGCGAACAAATGCTATTTTTTAGAGTCTTAGCTTACGTGTGTTTATTTCATATTTTCAGTTCTTACCCTCCCCGACTAAATCGGTTTCAGTTATGTACTGAAATATAAGAATGGACATTAGAGGTTCTTTCAAAGAAAAAACTCAGGTAAATGTTATTTTATATATTATGCTTGTATGTTGTTCAGTATATTTCTATGCAAAACAAGAGGAATTTCAATACACAGCAGTATATCACAGTTTAAACCAGATATTTACATACACTTTATGGAAAACACAAGAACATTTTTTTACTGTACAACATCAATTTAGAGTAAACTTGTTTTGTTTTGGATAAATATTGAAATATCTTTTGAATTAGTTAAATGTCAGAATAAAGAGAGACAGAGCTGTCTATTTTTTATCACTTTCATCAAATTTAGGAGTACATATACACTAAGTTTATTGTTAATTAATAAGAAAACTCCAGACGATTCCATTCTGAGCTGAAGAAGCTTCTGATAGGTTAGTAGAGTCCATGTGAGTAAATTGGTGGCACAGCTGTGGATGCATATAAGGCAAAACACAGAGCCTGTTTCTTTGACATGGGAAAATCAAGAGATGTCAACCAAAACACCAGGAAAAGAACTGTGGAGCTCCATAAGTGTGGCTCAATTTTGAATACAATTTGGTGCCATTTGCAATTAAGAAATACAGACAGTTTATCTCTTTACTCTTAAAGTTAACAAATATGTTTTTTATATTTATCAATCTAAAAAAATAAACATTTAGTCTGATTTGATGTTACAATTAAAAAAGTGTTTTTATCTGAAGAGTTTGTAAATATCTGGTTTCAACTGTATATTTGATGATTGTCAGCACAAAGAGGGAGAGAGAGGAACAGAGAGGGAGATGGAGAATGAGGACAGAACAGAGATGAACAAGAGCAGGTGAGACACACATGTTAGTCAAATGGTTGTTTACCAAAAGTATCACCGTATCATAGGTCCTCATGTATCTCGTACCTAGTGTTTCTTTTTAGGTTTGTTATTTTTCAAATTCTATATTAAGTTATGCAGGCTTGTTTGCACAACAAGGCTAAATAATTATATAAACTTTTCTCAATCTAAATAGTGGACTTTGGTAGAATTAAAAAATAAGTGTAGTGCAGGTCTATGATGATTTTTAGTGCTACTATCATCTAGTTCTGATTCTGGTTCTGTCTTGGTTAAGTCCTCAGTAGTCCTGATTTTGAACTGTTGTAGTCCTGTTTTAATTCCGATCAGTTCTGGTCTGGTTGAATTGGGGTTTAGTCCTCGTGTCTTGATACAGCCCGACTTTGTTCTGCCTTGCTGCTTAATTAAAAAACTAGTTTATGGTGTCCTGCATATGTGATATATTTTTCCTATATGAAGTCATTCTTTTTTGAACAAAACTCAAAACAGAGCCTATTAATCTTTCAGTCTTTCAGTCATTTCTAAAATAATAATCCCACATGCATACTACCCTTTAGGGCTAAGCCCCGGGTGTTTCAAATGTCTGGCTCCGCCTCTGCCTGTTGTAACCAGTTTTTAAAACATTTTGAAATATTTTAAACAATATCTTTTGCGTACAGATTTAAGAGTCGATGTCATATTTAAAAGGAACTTAAACCGAATGTCCTCGTGCATTAAATACCTCTGATGTATATGAGACGTTCACACAACATTTCCGTGACCTCAGTGCACAGCGACCTTTCACCTACATTCTCCCCTCACCAGTAGGACAGAAACCGCGGTTATCACAATAGAGAATACTGTACACAAGCCTTTAAATCTAAGTCTGAACTGTCTTAATCAATACAATGTAAGGCTTAAAAGTGAAGCAAATCGATTTACAGCTTTGATCCACTCCCACTTTAACTTATGGGATTCCGTAGCAGTAGGCTAGCTAGCGCTTAAAAGTGTTCTCGCTGCACAGATAAAGGTTTAGGAGTGTCGCGCACTTTGAAATTCTTGTTAAACTTTAATTGAGATATACATTTACTGACTCAAAATTAGCGTTATTTAACCTGCACTACCACACGTTTATGCAGGGCATTCATTGGCGATAAGAGCTAGTCGCAAGCTAATTATACATTTAATACATTTAGGACACTTAAATACATTTGGACTCTCGCTGCCATTCTCTCTTCCGACTTTGCTTAAAATGTCTGCATGAAACAAGTGTATAGTCTACCTGTAAAAACGTTATATCTCCTTAATGTGAATCTGGAGAGAACACCAACAGCTCGTACACCGGCCATCTTGGGAGCGTAGGTCAGTCTGCGGTGGCGTGAAGTGAAGCTAGCTAACTAGGAGGTGCTTTAGAAGAGAAGAGCAAGATTTGTACTACTTCCTGAAAGCGGTCAATCGGACAAGGTACTTATTGGCTGTCTTTCAACAAACCCGCACAGCATTGGTCAAATCTCAGGAACTCGCACCTAATTGGACGCCCAAAGACTACAAAACGCCTCTTAACTAAACTGTTAAAACTGAACCAAACGTAAGTACTGCCGGCTGGGTTTCATCCACGCTGTCCTTATACATTTTTTAAAATAAAAATTTCAAGCAATTACTACTATTGTTATTACTATTTTGTGTATAGTGAAAATGTTCAATTTTAAAGTTAACAATCACACCGTATTCATGATGCAATCGCAGCATGCTACCACAAGGTAGAGGTAGAAATCAGTGAATACAAACATAACCAGAATATTTGCACTGGGTTCTTTAAATAGCAGAGATATTTACCCATGTATATGTATTTGTGACTAAAATGTCCTTTAGCTACAGATTTCAGAGAAGTGGCGCCTTTTAATAAAGACACGAAGACAAAGGAAGAACTGCGTCTTTTTTATTTTTTTTATTTATTTGCCTAAAGCTACAGTCTTCTGCATAGATAAAGGAAGCACATTTCTTCAGGTAGCCAACAATTTTGTGGTAGACTGCATGAATGATCAGTGCAGATTTGCTCTAAGAAAAATTTGCTTTTTACATTAAGAAATATTTACACAGGAGATATTACAAATACAATTTATTGAACAAAAAAAAGGAAAAAATATTTACAATTACTGTCTCCACAGTAACAGCACAAGGGCGACACCCCGTGGGCAGTTAACTGAATTGCATTAGATTGACAGTTTACGTTACAACCATGCACTTGAAGTTAACATACTAGCCTAACAGTTTTGCAGTTAATTCAATATTTATTAATGTTATAATGTTCACATTTGTGTTGAATCCGTTTTTGAGAGATTTCCTTTCAGAAGTGCGATCGTTTTGGATAAGGTGGTTTGTATTTCTGAGGAACTGCTCTACCTCAACTAACAGGAACTGATCACTTTCATGATATGCTGTTTGTGGCAAGACCAGATGAGGGGATAAAAGAAAATCTAAAAGAAAAGTAACTATAATTCCTTTTAGACATGTGCATAATAGTGAAACAATAAAATATTACTATCCTTAGGCAAAAGTCATACCAGCTCTGTATTGTTGGATTATCTCTTGAACCTCTTAAATGCACCATATTCCGTATTATGGTTATATGTTAAATCTGATACATTTTTCTTCATTCTAACTTTATTATCTTATTGACAGTAAGTAGGATAGGACTGAAGAGGTTTCATCAGAAAACTGAAGTGGAAAATCTAAAGTGAGATCTGCACCTAACACTGTAGGCCTGCATTAATTTATTACATTAGGACATGCGTGTAGTTTGTATTTATATGTATATGCTGTCTAAACTGATAAGAAGTATTTATTATACTTACATTCTGACCTTTGGCACAGCGTGTTAACACGGACATTTGAAGGCAGCACCAATATATTGGAGAAGGCGGGATTATGTGTCGTTACGACGAAAGAATCCAATCAGAGGCCAGCTTTTCACATAGTAACCCCAATCAGCGAATAGGGACTGGCTGGTTGCGAAGGTAGTGGTCGTGGTGGTGTACTGGAAGAAGCAAGTGTTTCCTCTGGGCTTGTTAGCTGCAAGGTTTAGTAACAACCTTTTACTCGTGTATCTGTCAGGTTAGGCGCCGAATTTATCGGCGTTTGATCCCTTTGTTATGCATTATTTGGTTTCTGCATGCTAATTTTGCAATCTAGCTTGGCAGGTGAATCTAAATCTGTCTGAAAGCATATTTGAATATAATAGGGACACGAAATTACGATGCCATCCCCGATGGAGGGATCTTCCAGAGAAGGTGACCTGTTTACTGTGAAACACGAACTGAAAAATGGTAAGTTAGCTGGGAGCCGGTAAAACTCAATGCTGTGAATTTCATTCGATATTTATGTTTTGGAGACACGTGTCGGAGCGAGAAAAATGTTAGCTGGGCTAGCTTAGGGGAGGCAACTGTCACTGTCAGTGATCGTTTGTAGTAAGCACTAACATCAACGTTACACAAGTTCAAACATGGCAGAGGAAAGCTAACATCCGACTGTCATTACTACTTATAACGTTACCGCGAACTCACACAAACTAACGTTATCTGACCATATTATTACGGCGAGCTAGCGGCTAGCGTTTGTTATAAACCGAACTCAACCAGGGAAATGACATTAGCTTAAGCTAGTTGTCAGCGTGTAACCAGGTTAAAAACAGAGCATCGATGAAGATTTCACTAAGTTAATGCCATTGTCAACGCCTTAACTTATTTTGCTGGGTTTTCCTGCTGTTGCCTGTGTGTGACTGTTTTTGCTGTCACAGCTAACTTCTCCTCAGTCAAAAAAGGCAGAGCCAGCTGCAGTGATGTCAAGTCCAACACGCTAATGTTAGCCTATAGTTTCATTCTGCATATTACACAATAGTTAAGATCACCTGTAACCTTAGCTACAGCTGTTGCTTCTAACAGTGCATGCAATGACATATTAATCTCCTGAGCAGCCTGGTTAACTTTATACTACTAAGCCTCATCCCTAAAAGGGTAATCTACTGAAGGACAGTATAGTGTGAGTTCACTAAGAATTTACAGTAAATCTAGGCAGGATTCACAAATAAACAGATTTTAATGTTAGTGTTCGAAAGAGGGTTTCTGTGAAGAAGTGAAGAAGACTGCTTAGTGAAGTTGTACAGTGGACAAATAGGTTATAATGATACAGCGCTCCTGTTCAGGCTCCAACATGACTATGCTGCACCCCGATTATTGCCCTGCCCTAAAAATGCAGTCTGTCTAGATGTCACTTTTTTCCCTGTGTGTTTCATTTAACACAGTGAAACTTATGGCTACTTTGCATCCAGCTGTACCATTTTTGTCTGTGGAGATGTCTTAGTCCAGAACAACCACACAGTTCTCCAAGCTCATATGTCAATATAAAAAAATGTCAATATCAGTTGTCATTGCACCTCCCTGTCTTCCTGTTGGAGATCAAGGCAGAGCTGTACTAAATGTGGCTATGTTATCATAAAATGAGTAATCATGCTTGTGCTGGCAGTTGCACAATAAAAGAATATTCTTGCTTGTCCGGGGCTTGTATTAGATGTTGGGTCTTTAACAACAATTGCTCAGGAAACCAACCAACCACAAAATTTAACAGATCTGTTTGGTTTTTTTTTTTAAGTTTTTAATTAATGTATTTTTTTTAAAGGAAGCATAATTTCCCTCCAATAAAGCAAAGGGATTCCTAGGACTCCTCTGTTAGGCTATTAATAAACACCAAAAGCAAACTGGGCCTTGGCAGGGTAAGCTTGACAAGGGTGTTATGCAACCTGAATCTCTGACCTTAAATTTGAAGGACAGCTTTGTTGTTCTGAAATGATACAGTGTGCGCTCAAATTGCCTAACAGTTGCAGCATTTTGTCTTGTGTGTAACTGGAGAAGCAGAGGAAAAGATTAAATCAGCCGCTTTAATTGCTCAGTACCCTATTTCCAGAGTGTGAGACAGAAGGAATGTGTTCACTACAATGGACATGCATGTCTAAGAGTGTGCCATGCTCAGTCAGCTGTACTGGGAGACCATGATTTAGTGAGACACAGGGAGTCACAGACAGTGTGTGCTGAATTCAGTGAAGATCTTTAATGGAAGATAATGACCTTTTGCTGGTTAATTTAGCGAGTTTGCTTGCAGTGGAAGGGAGGATTATTTTGTAGTGCTGCATATTTAGGAGACAGGAAGAGCAAATGTGTTTTTGTAACACTTGTTTACATGGAGGAAGTTTGGTAATCATGCATGTGTTATTTGCGGTCATTTTTTTTTTTTTTTTTTTAACGTAATGGTGAAGTGAAATCACCATAACAATGCTACCAGTCTGCTGTTGTTGGTGTTTTGTTGTCTCTTGTTTTAATTTGATGGTTCTTCATTTGAAAGCCCAATTCTCCAGCTTTTAAACCTTTTCATTAAGTCTCAGTTAAGTCACATAGTAAAGTGCATCAGAATTCAAACTTGACCCCAATCTACAAAACAAGTGTACCAAAAAATGTCTACTGGTAGACATGCAGTGTTGATAACTCAACAGTAGTTAAAAACAAATTAAGATTTGTTTTGTTGATTAATAATAGATAAGAGGAGAATTTTTTACTCATAGTCCTTTATTTCATCCCCAATAGAGCACACGAGCATGGTAGTTAACAAACCATCTTTAATCCTTATTATTTAAGACTGGAACAGATATATTATAGAGCTGTGGGGTATAGATCGGACCAGAAATTAGACCCTTCAGTTTTCTATTACAATGTGTATCCACAGTTTGTGCTTCTTTGAACCTTAGGTATCTTGACTTTAGTATCTAATCTTTAGCCATTAATAGTTATTTCCAGGTACTGAAAAATGCCAGGTGGGAGCTTCATAGTGCAACTGCATACAGTCAGGCTGTGAGTATAAACAAGGATGCACTATGGGAAGCACTGAGACATTTGCTGAACATTGGTATTAGCCTATATTAGCCTTATTAACTGGTACTGGGATATTGCTAAACAAAATCGCATTTGCAAATATCAGTGGCCAATATTTATGTGTTATATCCGTTTTGCACTGGCCTGCCTGTTTCCCTAGAGCAAAAGGGGGAATAAAAAACAACAAAAACCAAATGAAAAATGAAAAATAGTCATATCCAGAATTTCAGAGCATCCCTAAATATAAAGTTTTTCTTGTAGTAAGCATTAAGTGATCTTTCAGTGCTAATAAACTTTACCTTATGTGATTTAATTGCTTTGGAGAAATCTTAAAAATATAATTTCACTGACAATTACTTTTCATGCCAAAAATACAGTATGAATATATTTTCAAGTGTCTGTGTATATTGACAATCAAGCCATCTTTATTATTTCAAGTATTCACTACAAATATATTAATATTGTTATTTTTACTTTGACTTCAGCCAACCTGACGGGCCATGTAGAGAGGGTGGGGATAGAAAACTTTGAGCTATTAAAGGTGCTGGGTACCGGAGGTAAGTGCAGTGTTACTTTCCCTTAATGTAAACTTGAACATTCAGAAATTTGTTTGCACGCCATTCTGTCATCCAACAAAAGAGTGTTTTTGGAATGCTAAGCGTGTCGAACGAGTCTTTTCTGTTTACCCACCTTCATTGAACTTTGCCCTGTCTGTGATTATTTTCCTGCCAGCATATGGAAAGGTGTTCCTCGTGAGAAAAGTCAGTGGCCATGATGCAGGAAAGCTTTATGCCATGAAGGTTTTGAAGAAGGCCACTATTGTACAGAAGGCCAAGACTGCAGAACACACGCGGACCGAGCGGCAGGTGTTGGAGCACATTCGCCAGTCTCCATTCCTTGTCACACTTCACTATGCCTTCCAAACAGAAACCAAGCTGCACCTCATTCTTGGTGAGGATATTTGATAATAATTTTTTAAATTTTAAGATAAATTCAGATTTTAAATTGTTACATCAAAGATTTAAGGCCTATGGCAACTGTCTGAACCCAGTGGAAAACCCCCACATTTTTAACAGCTAAATATATTAATGTACGCAGAGAATAAAAATTGTCTTTCCTTGTAGGGACATTAACCAACTTACATAACAAACATGATGTTTTCCTTTATAGATTATGTAAATGGTGGGGAGCTCTTCACGCACTTAGTGCAAAGGGTGCGGTTTAAGGAGCAAGAAGTAGCCCTGTATAGTGGAGAGATTGTCTTGGCACTAGAACATCTACACGAGGTGACCTTCAGATTTAGCTCAACAGTAAACAGTAGCGCTTCTTCCGTCCTTGATGATTAACCTGTGTTTCATTTTCTTGTTCCAGCTTGGGATTGTCTATCGGGACCTTAAACTTGAGAATATTCTACTAGATTCAAACGGTCACATAGTTCTCACAGATTTCGGCCTTAGTAAAGAATTTGATCAGGTACAGTTTGCCTTTATGTGTTTAAACCTCTCAAATCTATTCTATTCTCAAAATACGTTTTAGCTAATAAAACCCCAAAAAGGACATTTTTCTTTTTCTTTAATGCCCTCAAAAACCCAACTGTGAAGCCAGATTTTTACTTTAAATAGTGTGGGTTTGGGTATTTCACATTAGAGATATTTTTTCATCAGTATAGAGAAATAACCACTTCTCACTTCCTCATTACAAATGCAGAGAAATATTAGGATGCAGCGTCTGTTAGGATAGAGTATTTTATCTCTATTCTGTGTCATATTTGTCTTACGAAATGTTTGGTTTTGTTTTTAAAAAAAATAGGCTGAAAGAGCTTTCTCTGTCTGTGGCACCATTGAATATATGGCTCCAGAAATTGTGGAAGGAGGAGAGTCTGGACATGACAAGGTAAATTCTAGTTTCATGTCATTGCCTGTTTGATCAAATCATGTTGCACACTCTCCAGTGAGAAGTCACGGTTAGGTGCTTTCATGCATTCCAGGCGGTGGACTGGTGGAGCCTCGGCGTGCTGATGTATGAGCTTTTGACTGGTGGGTCGCCCTTCACTGTTGATGGAGATGAGAACTCGCACACGGACATTGCCAAGTATGAATTCTCCTTGATCATCAGCCTCAGCTTGCAGCTATATTTCAGTTATAATCAGTCTATAATGCTGCTGTATATCTCTCGCACATCACAGGAGGATTGCCAAAAAAGATCCTCCTTTCCCTAAAGACATGGGACCACTGGCCAAAGACCTAATCCAGCGACTCCTCATTAAAGATCCAAAGAAGAGATTAGGGTCGGGGCCTAATGGAGCGGAGAATGTAAAGAAACACCCATTTTACCAGGTGGATTTCATTGCCTGTCTTGTAATGGTCACGATATTTAATATAACTAATGGACTGAGATGTCATTGTTTTGTACTGAGTATTTCTACATGGTTTTCGCATTAGAAAATTAACTGGGAGGACTTGGCAGCCAAGAAGGTGCCTGCGCCGTTCAAGCCAGTGATTCGGGATGAGCTGGACGTCAGCAACTTTGCAGACGAGTTCACAGAGATGGACCCCACCTACTCTCCCGCAGCTCTGCCTCAGAACTGTGACCGCATCTTCCAGGTGGGAGGGAAGGAAGACATCTTAGACAAGCAGACTGTGTTTTGTTGTGACTCATGCTGCTGTTGTTTGCAGACAGGAATATTTCTTTGTGCTCCTTGCAGGTCATCGCACAGGACACCGTTTATCGGCATTTGTTTAGAGCCCGTGTTTGTCTGGGCTTTGGTAGCAGGCAGTGTGAAATGTTGACACGGATGAAAAATCGCATTATACATTATCCGCTTTTTGTCTGTGACTATATTTGACATACTTCACAGCAATTGAAGTAATCAAGTGAAGTTTTGAATGTCCTCAAAAGGTTGCTGTAAGTCAACATGAGTCTGTCTGTGTGCATTGGTATTCAAATTGACTAAAGGGTCTTTTATTGAAGTAATTGCTGCCATATGCAGCTCTTATTGAAGTAACAGATGTGAATGACTATTTTTGATGTAGCTTTGAACCATAATATGGCCCACAACTCCATGCCAGCTGATGGCTGTCTGATGTATTGCATGAAATTTCAACTCTGATTGCCTTCTGGATCCTTGAGCATGCTAGATCAATAGATCCATTAACGGGCTTCTCTCATGGAATAAAAGGTTACACTTTGAGAGCATCACCACGTCTGTCTCGGTTACGCCTTCAGTCTTTGATTGCCAACTTCATCTTGGCTTTTTTCACTCTCAGCTGCCATTCATGTAGTCTGAAATTTTGTGGTCTTTATAATTTGCAAGCCTAGCAATCTCTGCGATAACGACAGCAATCCCAGTTTTAAACCGTGCACTTGCTCCCCCGCCGTGTCGCACAAAACAAAATTAAAATTGCATTAAGAGCGCCAAGATGTAATTTCACAGCAGAGCAATCAAATATTCAAGCCCGGCAATTTAGGGCATCTCATTCATTCAACACCCATCCTTCCGTCCATCCATTGCTGTCACTACATATCACACAGCTGTGTGTGTGCCGGTGTAAAAGAGAGAGGGAGAGATTAATGCCAGCTCAAAGCTCTGTGCTCCCCACAGCTGGAATTAAGCAGGCAGCGCTCCACAATGACAGGCCTAACAATAGGAACAGCTGGACAGCCACTGTCAGTCACACATGAAGAGAATTGGGCTTATTGTTGAGCTGACAGGCTGGTTTTGATAGATTTAAAGAAAACTACGCAATTTTGTTTTATTTTAAGGGACTCTATTTTTCTGTGGCAGTGGAGGAAGTTTCCTTTTCTCCTGCCCTAACCCATCTCTCGCTTTATGTCTTAGTAAAATGTAAACACCTAGGGCTCTTGTGTTTTTATTTGCAGGGTTACTCTTTTATGGCCCCCTCCATCCTGTTCAAAAGGAATGTGGTGATGGATGACCCTGTCCAGCTGTGTGGGGGTTCTGAAAAGCCAGGCTCAGCTGCGGTGGCCCGCAGCGCCATGATGAAGGTAAAATGAATGGACTTGGTTCTCCGAGCACAAACACACTTAAGCTAATGGATGCTGTCACAGACAGATGAGAATTTTTCCTTCCTTTCCATTCCACTTGAACTTTATTTTTCTTCTGTGCTAGTTTTACTGCACTCACGTTCCGTTTCAGGCTTAATCCTGTTTATTTAATAGCATTTGTTCGTGAATACACTTGCGTGTCTTTGCAGCATAATGCTTTTTGAAAAGGTAGCAGTGCTTTTTGTGCGCTCAGTTAGCTTAAAGCTTTCTCAACAACATCCTGGGAAACTGAGCTGTTTTGCAAACCTTAGCATTTTCTATTTATTATGAGATTAGTCATAATGCTGAAAGGTATTGTAATTATTTATCTTAGTCCTTTTCAGTTTGCTGCTTCAATAATCCAAGAAAACGGAGGGAAAAACAAGAAATTGGGCTTTTAAATTGTATCTAAACAATGAAGGAAATTAGTGGTTTAACTACAGTAGCTGGCTTTTCTTTTCTAAAGTTTCCACTGGGTGCACATTATAGGTTTTAAACCAGATTCTGGTTAGCAAACAGGAAGCTTATTAACGGTATTTCTGTCTTATCATGTGACGATCTTAACTCTTTTAGTTCAGATCTAAAGTCGAGACTTTCAGTGCTATTTTTTTTAAAGTCCTCGTCGCATTTGTATTTCTTCTTTTCGATTTTGCATGTGAAGTGTACAGGGTTGGTGTGGTGATATACTTAAAAACAACCCTTTGTGTAGCATAAAACTAGAATGAGAGAAGAATTATTATGAACATTATTATGGGTGAGAAGAGGGATAGCTTTGGGGATTCTAGCTGTAATTGAATCAGGATTTTTAATATAAATTCTGCATACAACCTCCAGAAAAGACTTGACTAAAAGAAAGGGAATAGAAAGAATGAAGAATGTCAAGTGTACCAAGTATTCTCTGTAGAAAACTGAAAGCAACTAAGGCCCTGAGATAATACTCAGATAATTGGCAAATTAATTTGGTCATAAGTAATGTAGGAACTTGCAAAATCTCTACTTTAATTCTACGAACAAACATCCTATATCAGGCTATAATATTTAATGTGAATTTTATTTGCGTGATAATAAAATATACACATAATTCTTACTTTTTGTGATTATTTTTATGCGTATTTGCAGGACTCGCCTTTCTATATGAGTTATGAGATGGACCTGAAGGAAAGTGCTCTGGGGGAGGGTAGCTTCTCGATCTGCAGACGGTGCACACACAAGAAGACTGGGCAGAAATATGCAGTCAAGATTGTCAGCAAGAGGTACGAGTTCACTGGGTGCACACATGTGTTTGTCAACTCAGATGCTTTTGGCTCTGTCTTTTGTTTATAGATTTACTGGATCAGTTGGACCGCCACCCTCCTCCACTCCCCTGCTCAGCCAAGTCTGAAGCCAGTCTGAGAAGACTAATAAATGTTAAACTAACAAAGGCCAAATAATGTCATAATTTGACCTGATTACATATTTTCCTGATTTTTTTTTTTTCCCTATGAAAAATCCAGGTTATATAAGTAGATCACTTGGTTGTTTTTACTGCCACGTCCTATAAAATCCCATGTATGCTTATAATACACTCCTCCACAGTTTGGCACCCAGTATTATAGTTCTGATTATAGTTGACATTAGGACTGATGCAAGGCAAACCCATGTCCAGTATTTTCTAGCTCTTCGTTGGTTAGAGCAAAACTGCCCTAAAGTATTTTGGAAATTCCCCTAAAGTAAACAAAATAAATAAAAGAAACCTAATTCAACACAGTCTGCTGTTAGTGATTTGTGGTGATATTTTCCAGTGTGTTCTGGGTTATAAAAGGATTTTTTTTTTTTAATACTGTGTTGTGCGTGTTATAACAAAACGTTAACGTGGTACAACTAATAGTGTTGTAATATGTGTAAATGTTTTGTCTTCTTTAAAAAAAAAAAGAAAATCTTAGCATATTGTGCTCCTAAACACGTAATGCAAAAGTAGGAAAATGTTCCACTTCTCCTGTGTGTGTATATGTGACTGCCTTTGCTGTAGGATGGAGGCCCAGACTCAGCGGGAAATAGCAGCCCTGAAGCTCTGCGACGGTCACCCCAACATTGTCAAGTTACATGAAATTTACCACGATCAGGTAAAGATAATCGCGTCTGTTACATTTGCCTCCATAAATTCTGTTTTCCATAGCTCTCTGCCTAGTCTGTGGGGACTGCAGCCTTATTAAGTCGAGGAAATGGAACAAGGCAGATTAATGGGGATGCTAGTAGCCCTCTGGGTGTTTCTTTATCTCTTTGCATATTGTTTCATGAACATCTCACACTGTGCTCAATATTTCGCCTCCGATTTATTTCTAAACTGCAGCTGCACAAACATCCATTTTTCGCCACTGAATAGTAACAACCTAGATTCACTTGTTTTGCTAATCGAGCCGCACACTTAACCCAAACTAAGCGCGCATATGTTCTAAATGTAGCTTACCCCCGGTATATGGAAGGTGTGACCGTGTGTGTGACTGTGTACAGCTTCATTAGCCTCGGTCCTTCATGCCCAGGAGCACCACTTTAGTCCTGATGAGCTCAGTGGGGTTATTACTGTACCTCACAGGTCTGTGACCCAGATCAAAGCAGCGCTGCCTCACCCGCCTCAGCTGAGTCCTGTCTTTGTTCCCTAGATCCTGCACTAATGAGAAGCTCAACCCCGCTGCTCTGGCACATCATTCTCCTGCCACTTTGTTTGGCCCCTTTCATTTTTACTTAATACCAATGTGGTTTAATGTCACCATCATGAGATCAAGGATGTTTTTTTGTGTGTGTTTGTTTCTGTTTGTTACGCAATAGAAAAATTACAGTTTAATGTTTCACACATCACTTTTCAGTTGTTTTCAATGTGGTGTTCAAGCTTTGAAAGCAACATTGATGATATTTTAGGAAAGACAAACTTTCCAATATTTATTTAATTGCCAAACATTTAAGAGTGTTTGTGCATACCGAGCTAATTCAAGGGTTGTTAAAGAATATAGGTTAAGAGTGGGTGTAACAGATGTAACCTTATCCTGTATGTGTTTGCTGTAGCTTCACACATACCTGGTTCTGGAGTTGCTTGGTGGAGGGGAGTTGCTGGAGAGAATCCGCCGGAAACAACATTTCAGCGAAACGGAAGCCAGCCGGATCATGCGCAAACTGGTGTCTGCTGTCAGTCACATGCATGACGTAGGAGTTGTGCACAGGGATCTTAAACCGGAGGTATTGGAGAGCTTCTCAGCCGAGCTATTGCCAGAGATTTCTTTCTGTCCAAGCACAGTTTGTGTCTTTGTGATGAATGCAGGCTGGCTGGATCGTACGTTTCTGAAAAAGAATTACTGTGTTTTTCTGAACTTTGTATGATCTGTCCTTCTCTCGTTCTCACTCTGCTATTTTTTTACAAAACAAGAGTAAAATTGTTTGACCCCAACGTGGGTCACAAGTACCTGGTCAGTCATGATGTACAATTTACTACTTGAGTGAACCAGTTCTGCTGAGCTGAGAAAAATGATTGCTGTGCGTGTCTCAAATTGCTTTGTAGAACCTGCTCTTCACAGATGAGAGTGAGAACTCTGAGATAAAAATCATAGACTTTGGCTTCGCTCGACTGAAACCACCAGACAATCAGCTCCTAAAGACTCCTTGCTTCACCCTGCAGTATGCTGCACCAGAGATACTCAAATATGATGGCTATGATGAGTCCTGTGACCTGTGGAGTCTAGGGGTCATCCTGGTGAGTGGAGCAGCCACGCTCAGGTTAAATCAAAGCACTATTAATTTGACCGAGGATCATTGATTGTTCAGCAATCGGGGAGAGAACAACGAGCAAACCGTTATCTGAGTTTTTGAATGGTGAACAAGCTGTTTATGCTAACGTTACCATTTACACTATATGAATGATAGATTGTAGTGCATTTATTGACGTTCATGAGCCTAGGCCTGTTGCATTGTTGGTAGGGTTGAGTTGGCTGGAAATGGAAGGGTATTGGATCTTTAACTTACTTTAAATCCTGACTTAAGGCTTTAATTTGAATTCCATTAACCTGTTCTATTATTAATATTTTTAGGTACAATTGTTAATTACAGTTATAGCTGATCTTTTTTATGATTATATAATTAATAGATTAGTAGGCCTTCTTTTTTGTTTTATAGATCAGTACATTTTAATGGCCATGTTCAGAGCATCCCATTGCATGCCGACCACTGTGTAGTAGGGTAATGCACTAACATGGATCAGTTCCTCATGCAGCTCCACTTAAGAAGATCCATACCAAACCTGTCATCCTTAGTAGTATCTGTTATCCAAAGAATGGTTGGCTGTTCATAGGTGTGGTGCTTTTTCGTAAAAAAAAGGCAGAATATAAATTCCAGGGTATATTAGTGCGTTAAGTTATTTTGCTTGTTGAAATGCTATATTCTTGGCAAGTAAAATTTCATGTAGCTCAAAGACATTATGAAAGTATTGCTCTGTACATGAAAGGTAGATTTTTGATGAAACTCATGGCTCTTACAGGTTGTAATAGAACTAAATAACTGATCATTGATTAGCCCTATTCAGGAGCATCCTTCTTTGTGACTTAACGCCATCACTTTCCACAATGCTCCAGGAAAGTGACCTGATTATATAAATGTATAATTTACACAAATCTTTTCAGAACCCAGATTCCCACTTTAAAGCTTGTCTAAAAATGCTTTTGACTGAAGTGTTTCTATAACCAAATAAATGTTTAATCAGAAGCTTCATATACTCTTGATTTGCACATCTTATCCAGTTTGAGGATTAAACATTTGACACAGGCCACTCTGATTAAGCAATCAGCTGTTATTTTAACTGATTTTGGTAGTAGTTTAGGCTAATCTGTGTTGGATGATATTCATCTCCTCTTGTTCAGCGGTACAAACTTCAGCATCCTGTGGTGAGCTGACACAGTTTACACTCACCACAAAAAGAAGCAAAACCTGTCCCACTCTTAGACCTGGTAAAGGCTATGCGGATATGTCATCCTCATTCAACTTTTTTTTTTTTTTGCATGGAAGAGAAGAATTAAAAGGAGAGGTAGACAGGATAAGGAAAGGACACATAGTTGAGAGAAAGATTTCTGTAGTTGGCCAGTCATCCGTACAGAGCCATGGCTCTATGTTTAAGTGCTGCTTCCCACCGTCGCCCCCTGGGGGGATATGGGTGTACTGTGCCTCTTGGAGGTTTGATGAAATGGCTACTGACATGCTTTGTGCACAATGCCCTGGAAGCCAACTGAGTTGAGATATAGAGGGAGAGAGAGATCACAGCACAACAGAGCCTTTGCTGCCAAAAGGGTTGTTCCCAACTACTGTCATTTTAATAAGAAATATGAGGGCAGATGCATTCAGGCCAAGGTGAGAGAATCCTGTTCTTTCAGCTGAGCACAAACCGCTCTTCTCTTGAGTGCTAGTTCAGCCATGGTCAACAACTTGCAGCATAACAATGGAAAAATGTGGACAGTCGTGATCGGTCAAGGGCGCTTTTAAAACATGTTATTTTAACAGTAAATGTGTTTAAACACTTACGTCTAGTTACTTAACCAACTTATTGAAGGTAGTGTGGCACTGACAAAAACGAGCACGTAGTGTTTTTTCATCCGCAGCTGTTGTATAAAGTGTATAAATAAGATTTTCACTAGAGATACCTGATTTCTGAGGACAAAGGCATTAGAGATTTAAATGGAGAAAAAAGATAGTTGGGATGTTTTACAAGATGTAAATTAAAAAAAAAAAAATGCAATGCAGTTATTCACCATCAAAAGCACATATAAAGATAAAAGAAAAATGTCAAACCGCTTAAAATATCTGTTCATTTCAAATTGAATGACAGCATGTTTAAAAGGCCAGTTAGGATCCTTGAATGTTTTACTACAGAGCCACACTGATCTGTGCAGAATGGAGTTTGATGTTGTGTTGCTAGAATAGCCAAGATCTTCCCCGAAAAAGAGGTTTTCCTGATGAGAGCATTTGTCGCTACCAAACCTGTATACATAATCTGCATTAATGGTGCCTTTACACATGTCTATGTAGCTAATTCTATATGCACTATTGCTCCCAATGATCACAGATGCTGGTTTTAAATAGTGTGTTGTGTAGTTTGCAGAACGCAGCATCCATGAGTCTCAAAGAGATGTTCAGATTTTTCATATTTACTGTGAAAAAATGAGTTTAGTAACAGTGCAATGTCTCTTTCAAGATTATATTGTTCTTTCAGTTTTATTTAGGCCTTATAAATTCTTCAAAATCATTGGATTATTGTGATATTTTGGTGATATACATTTTACACAGCATTCCAGTTCCTGGAAATCAAGGTTGCAGAGTGTGTTGTACTGAAAACGGAAAATAATGCAGTCGTTATTAACTTTGCAGTAAAGCTTTTCACAAAAACACTGTTCAAGTTTTGACACAGTTGTTCTATTTGTGCTACCCAATTTTGTCAAACTAGCATCTTTCACATTTAATTCTATTTTATTTATACAGCACCAAATCACATCAACAGTCACCTCAAGGCACTTTATATTGTAAGGTAAAGACCCTACAATAATACAGAGAAAACTCCAGCAATCAGACCCCTTTTAAGAAAGCACTTGGTGACAGTGGGAAGCAAAACCTCTCTTTTAACAGGAAGTAGGTGTCAGAGGTGCGTCTACACTTTGTGGCGAGCTATGGTTGAGTCGCCACAGTTTGATGATGTGGCAGCTATTGTTAGCTCAGAGACAGAGAAGAGCTGAGAAAAAATTAAAAAATTAATAATTTAATAATTATTAATTCTAGGTGACCAACAGTTGGCCTCACTCCAAGACTTTTCTCAACAATGTAACAAAAACCTAAATAAACGTTGTTCTCTCTTTAAAGTCTATAACTGAAAAGCTAAGCGAGAGCTATTATAAACTGGTAAGCCAGTCTAAATGTGACTGTATTGTAAAAATTGCATTGAGATCTCTAAATCATCTTAATTTTAATATGTTTATGTTCATAGCAGATTGCATGGTCTTCCTTTGTTTGCAGTACACCATGCTGTCTGGCCAGGTGCCTTTTCAGTGCCAGGAGAAGAGCCTGACCCACACCAGTGCTGAAGAGATTATGCGTAAAATCAAACAGGGAGATTTCTCTTTTCAAGGAGAGGCCTGGAGAAACGTGTCCCAGCAAGCTAAGGACCTCATACAAGGTGAGGGGAAAAAACTGGCTCATTTTCTTTTGAATAACTTGAGCTTCGGTTTCTTTTTTTCCCATTAAAAACGTAGAAACATAGTGCACTAAATTTATAAAATTCCACTTAAATAGTACTACAAATTTTAGGATATGGTTATGAAAGTGAGTAGTGTTAGCTTGCAGCTCCAAGACTTCTGTTATCGGTAGATTCTTTGTTCCAGGCTCATTTTTTCAGAATAAAATATCGACTTTCAAAATAAAGTAGTCCAGAGCAGGAGGTATGAACTGTTTTTGTGAAATTGTAAATTAGTTAAATAAATAAAATGAGGTTTATGCAAAAGCTTTGAGTCGTGTTTAGGGCAGATGGTGCTGGTAGAGTCTGGAAGAAGAAATGGACAAGTAGTGCTCCATTAGTGCAATGTCAGTAAGTGTTTTGGATGAACTTTCTACTCACAAAGCAGCTTTCAGAGATCAGGTTTCCTAAAGAGGAAATAACTTCCTGCCTGTGTCTCACCTTTTCCCACCTGGATTAAGAGCGTTAAAGGTAATTATCTGCGTCTTGTTCCTGTAGAGCTGCTGACGGTCGACCCTAACAAGAGGATTAAGATGTGTGGCCTCCGTTACAACGCCTGGCTCCAGGACGACAGCCAGTTGTCCTCCAACCCACTTATGACCCCAGACATTCTCGGATCCTCCACTGCCTCTGTCCACACTTGTGTCAAAGCTACTTTTAATGTATGAAATGTTCAGAAGGGTGCTAATGTTAGATAGTAGGTCAGAACGTTCCAACCTAGTGTAAAATTTGGATTGTGTAGCTTCTGCTAAGTGTCAACCGGCTGTTATTAATAGAGATTGAGACCACATTATATTAACCGTATTGTGGGAAGATTAATTCAAACAAATGCTAAAGATATTAGTAATTTAAAATGCATCAAAAGGCACTTTGATACTGCAACAAAGCGCAGATGCTAGTTTTTGTCTTACTTGAGTTTGGATTTGTGTTGTTATTGCGATTTATCAAAATGCTGAATGGATATTAATGCGACTAATGATATAATTATGTGACCTGGGTTTTGGCCAAATATTGATGGGATCTGAAACGTAAGATCCCTTGAAAAAAGATGAGAGCAGTGCATTTCTTGGAAACTAAAATTTAAAAGTCTAACCAAACATCTGTTTTGTACTCGCAGGCATTTAACAAATGTAAGCGGGAAGGGTTCCGCCTCCAGACGGTGGACAAGGCGCCTCTAGCCAAGAGGAGGAAGATGAAAAAAACAAGTACCAGCACAGAGACCCGCAGCAGTTCCAGCGAGAGTACCCATTCGTCCTCCTCCTCCTCCCAGTCACAGGAGAAGACTTTTCAAGAAGGAGACCCAAATCGACAGCACTCTTGCATCACTCCTGTCATCACCCCTGTCAACACACCGGTGCCCTCTGGAACAGATTCTGGGCACCAGCCAGCACCTCCAGCCTTTCCCTTCTCAGAAGGACAGTAAGACAGCCTGAGGAGAATCCAGATTCAGACAGTTGGGTCTGAAGAAAAAAAAAAGAAGAAGAAGAAGTTTGGCTTGGACTAGTATAGAGACATCCTTCTTCTTTCTCTCTCTCTGGCTCAATTGCATGGATGTCAGCACGTCTCTAAGCATGCAGCAGGAGCAGCACTGTCACCTCTATATCAATCAATCAATCAATCAATCAATCAATCATCACTAGCAATAGCCTATCCTATCTTTTGCTCTGACTTTCTCACACAGACTATCAATCAGGGACTGGACCAGGAAGAAGTGTCACCAGTGTCCTAAAAGAAAAGGGCTGCCCTACTGCCCCCGGTCCAGAGAATGGAGAGACATCTTCAATCTCGTCATTAAATCACAACATCTGTCCTCTCCTTTTCTGTCTTTGTCCGAGTTTTTAGAGATTTAAAGGGAAAGTCAGCATTTACACCATGGATGCTTTGTAATTTCTGTCAAAAGGAGAGAGAAACAAAAGGCCACATGCCGGAGGATAATCTTACGTCTCTGCTATACGGAGCAGCTTATTTATATGTGAATTTTGCAGACTGAAATTTATTTATGATAAGCTATATTATTAACTTATTTATGGTTCATTATGATCTGAAAAGAAATAATGGATACAGTGAGACTAAAAAAAGAAGATATTTTGTGTGTGTGTGTGTGTGTGTGTGTGTGTGTGTGTGTGTGTGTGTGTGTGTGTGTGTGTGTG